GATGATCTCCCAAACAAATGATTTGTGAATCTAGTTATCAGGCAATAAGCTCTTGATTGGTATTTTTCTCCCTCATCTCAACTGCTTTAGTTTGGTGATCTTGAACAAAAATATTCTCAGTATTAATTATTTTTGGCCTTTGCAGAGGTCAGCTAAGCAGCCCTTTAGCACAGAGGTAACCTCTGCATTAGCAACATTTAATGAGATCAAGTAACAATGAATGCTAGTGTATGCTGCGCATTGGCTCACTTGATTACTCCTCACTAAATAGCCATGCTTTATCATTTTATGAGTTATTTGGCTTGTTCCTCTGACAAGCCAGGTAACTAGATGATGCTAATCAACTGACTGGTGGGATGTGTGAATTTATTTGGTTAGGAAAAAGTGCCAAGAAGCTAAGCCAAGTTTTCTTGCAGTTTGTATTCCATTCTATGTACATAAGGTGACTGGACTGGTATTGAATCACATTTCAACCTTGAAAATGCCACTGAGTGCTCTGATACTAATGAAGGCAGCTAGTTTAGGGGGGAACAGGAAATAAGAATGGCTAGGGACTGAGAGAATAGCAGGGCATGAGCTTCCCTAGCTATCTCCATCATCTTCTGCTAGTCTACTGGTACAGCTGCTCGTATAACCAAGAATAATTGAGAAACACACACTAGCACACTTATCAAAATAATTACCATTCAGTGCAAGTGCTTCAGCAAGTGCTTCAACTTCTCTAAGTTATTAATAAGGATACATAATTAATCCAAGATCTGATTTGTATTAAAAATTTGTGTAAGTAATGTAATTCAATTTGAAACTGAATTTGGAATGCAACAAAATTCAATTCAAATCAGTTTTGAAAAAAATGAAATCATTAGTTATTGTCATGCCCCTCTTGGAATCTGATTCCGAGGGGGAGACCAAGCAGCTGACAGGGAGTGAGGGTGTGGCTCTATTGGCTGTGGAAGAAACTGGGGGAGGGCAAAGTGTGGCTAGGCAGAGCAGGGGAGAGGTAGAGAAAGGCAGAGGGAATTCAGAGGAAGATCCAGACCTACACCCTCTTCATCCTAGGGCATGCAGGGAGGAATGGAGAAGGGAGCAACATGAGTTGTGTGGTTTACAGGGGAGGAAAGGGCCCTGATTCCCTTCATTAGCTGCAGCTGGGAACACAGTGTTTTAAAAGGGAGGTTGCGCACAACAACTCGTTGGAAGAAAATCATGAGTTATCTTTTATTGTTAAGGCTTATCTGGGTTCCTGGCATCTTCCCAACTGTGTGAGTTTGGTTGGCCTTTGAAGTCTGCAATTCCTTATTCTACCCTGTCCAGTTAATTGCTGCAACATAGTTTGTGTGGATTTTTTATTTACAGTTTATATGTACTTTGTTTTTGGACTGAATTTCCTCCACTTAAAGACTTGGGGGAGTTTTTTCTCCAGCCGAAGGTAACTAGACATTGGGGGCAAAGTTGGAGGTATTAAAAGGACTTTTCTTACTTATGTGGTTATGTTGCTTTTGTGCCACGCCCTGGGTCATCACAGTTATAATGCAGTAAACTACTGAATATTTTCAGCTGATTCTGTTTTTGACAGAACTGGTGAAAATAGCTAAGATAAGGGATCTTTTACAATACTTTTTTTCCAGTAAAATTTCAGCCAGATAGCTTCAGTGGTTTAATCTTAATACATTTTTGATTTTGATTTATTCTGTGCTAGATGAAACCTAGAAGCTTCCAAATTGTCCAGAAAACATGCAGAAAATGTGCTAACCAATATTCTGGCATAGATTTTTGGAAATGACATGTTGAATATCTGAATTAAAAATTAAGTTAAATTAATAAATTAAAAAAGTAATTTGCAGGGAGCTCATTCAATGCTTTGAACATTCTGTTATCAGATTTAATTAGAATGAGTAAATTAATCAAATGTCCTTTGAATTAAGTCATCAATTTATAATTCTATACTATCCTAATCACTACACCTTGCCAAGAACTTGGCAAAAGAATACTTTGAAATACATACATATATATATATATATATATATATATATATAT